AAATTGATGTAGTTAAGTAGCTCTTCATAGCTTTTCTCGATTATTAGCTACTGTTATAGCTGTTATAGCTTTTATTTTAGTAGCTTTACTTTTACTGCACAGTAACAATAGTTACTCATGTAATTCTTAAGCTTGAAACCTCTGTAAATAGGTTTCAGCCTTTTAATGAAAGGGCATTGAATCATTTCTTAAAAAAACCTTGTGAGGTGCTGCATCAAATAACCCAAATACACCTATTATCCCTACCATCCTATTCGGGGATTTGACCAATATCGAGGCTGTCGGCACTCAACCAAACACCAATCCTACAACAGTCCTAGCTACTTCACCATCCCCAAAACACCCTCCCATCACACCACCAATTTTAGCCAACACAAACACTACCAACCTACAACCACTGATGGCAGAACCTCTCAGCATTGACTATGAAGATAAGAATATGGAAAAAGGCTTCTTTTCACCAAATGGGTTCCGACGCTACTTAGCAAACTACCTAAAGGAATCTGGCCTATGTATAATGGCAATTCCACAAACGGAACCCAAGACAAAAAAATCAAACAAGTTGGCTAAGACTAAGGCGGGAACCCGTGAGCTCAAGAATCTCACTTCTTCTATCAATTATGAGAAACGAAAGTTTTTCCAAGGGGGGCCATCCGTTGCAAAATGAAATTCTTGACATGGAACGTTAGAGGGCTGGACTCATGGAAGAAGGGAGCCCTCATCAAGCAATTCATCTCCCGCCTTAATCCAAATGTGGTGATTCTTCAAGAGACCAAGCTCTCCTATATGGACATCCTCATTGTAAAATCCCTGTGGAGTGCACATGGGATTAATTGGTCTGCTTTAGACGCTTCAGGGATGGCTAGTGGGATCCTCATCCTCTGGAATGACCCAGACCTCAAAGCTGCTGAAATGATTGAAGGTGTTTTCTCCCTTACCATAAATTTTTGTTTGTCTGATGGCTTTCTCTTTTGGGTCTCAGGCATCTATGGCCCATCTACTACAGAATTTCACTACCTTTTCTGGCAGGAGCTCCTTGATCTTTCCGATCTTTGTGAGAACCATTGGATCCTTGCTGGTGACTTCAATGTAACAAGATGGTCTTGGGAGAAATCTAATGGCAGACCCCTAACCAAGAGTATGTGGCTATTCAACTCATTTATAGAGGATTCCAGCCTCATAGACGTTCCCCTCACCAATGGACAGCACACATGGTCTCGCAACACATCCTTCTCCCTGATTGACTGTTTCCTCCTCACAAATGGATGCATTGACAAACTTGGGATGCCTATAGCAAAAAGGATGACCAGAACCACTTCGGATCACTTTCCTATTCTTCTTGACTTCGGACAGAACAACTGGGGTCTTACTCCTTTCAGGTTTGAAAACATGTGGCTGTCCCACAAAACCTTCAAACCTTTTCTTGAAACTTGGTGGGGAAACAAACCTTTGCATGGCTGGCCTGGACATGGATTGATGATGAAGCTCAAGTCTCTAAAGTATGCCATTAAACTCTGGATCACCGAGCATTTCAGATGTATCCACTCACAGAAGGAAGATCTCACCAACCTCATGAACTCTCTGGATGATCTAGAGGGCTCACAACCTGTCACACCGGATCAAAGCCGTGCCAGGATACAAGCCAAAGAGGACCTCTTATCCGTTGTTGCCAAGGAAGAAGCCTTTTGGAGGCAAAGGTGCAAACAGAAATGGCTGTGTGAGGGGGACGAAAACACAAAATTCTTCCACAGATTCCTAGCTAACAAGAGGAGAAGGAGTATTATCACAGAAATTCTCTCTAAAAAAGGAATCGGCCTGACACAGATCAAAGACATAGAGGAGGAATTCATTGATTTCTAAAGAATCGTTACACCAGAAAGGAAGGTCAACGATGCTGCCCTACCAACCTTCCATTGGAACCCATCTCCACAGAACACTCCAGCCTACTGGAACAACCTTTCACGGAGGAGGAAATCTATAAGGCAGTAAAATGTCTTGGCACTGATAAGGCATCGGGCACGGATGGATTCAGTGCTGAATTTTTTAAAAAGTCATGGAACACTATCAAAACTGACTTATTGACAATGTTCCAGGATTTTTTCAAAATTGGGGTCATCAATGCTGCCCTAAATGAGACCTACATATGTCTCATTCCGAAGAGAAAAGAAGCTAAAACAGTGCACGATTATAGGCCGATTAGCCTCATCCCATGCACCTACAAAATTCTTGCAAGGGTTTTCTCTGAGCGTCTCAAAAAGGTACTGCCTCTCACCATCTCTGACCAACAATATGCATTTGTAGAAGGAAGACAAATACTGGACTCCGCTCTTATTGCCAATGAGATCATTGATGATTGGCAAGCTCGAAAGCTTGAAGGAGTGGTGATTCAGCTGGACCTTGAGAAGGCCTTCGACATGGTTGATTGAGATTTCCTTGATATGGTTCTAAAGCACAAAGGATTCGGGGAGAAATGGAGGAAATGGATTAGAGCTTGTATCTCCACTACAAGCTTTTCCATCATTATTAATGGGAAGTCAAGAGGCAAATTCACTGCCACTAGAGGATTGAGGCAAGGGGATCCCCTATCCCCCTTTCTTTTTATCATCATCACCGTTGTCCTTAGCCAGCTACTTCACCAGGGAGAACAACAAGGACAGCTCTCAGGGTGTGAATCAAGATGTGGCTTAATAAAAATTAACCACCTTTTTGCAGATGACACCCTCCTTTTCTCCAACAAAGATCCTTTCTTTGTCAAAAAACTCCACAAGATCATCAAGTTCTTTGAAGTGGCATCTGGTCTCAGCAACAACTATAACAAATCTAGTGTTTATGGCATCTCTATTGGCACACAGATCATTACTAGAATTGCCAATGCATGGGGCTGCACAACGGGATCGTGGCCTAGCACCTATTTGGGTCTTCCACTCAATGGCAACCCAAAAAAAAGAAATTTTTTGGCTGCCGATCAATGAGAAGCTTCAAATTCGCCTTTGTAAGTGGAACAACCTTTTCATCTCTAAGGGGGGAAGACACACCATACTACAATCTATTCTCACAAACTTACCTACATACTATCTATCTCTTTTCAAAATCTCGGCCAAAGTTGCTGATAGAATGGATAAGATCTTTGGGGACTTTTTATGGGAAGGTCCAAACAACAATGGCAAGCCTCACCTAATCAATTGGAACACCACACAACTTGCGATCAAAGAAGGAGGCCTTGGCATCGGAAATATAAAGCAGAGAAACCGTGCTCTTCTTTCTAGGTGGGTGTGGCGCTACATAACGGAACCTAAGCAGCTTTGGAGGAGACTTATCTCAGCGAAATATTCTAGATCTCCCTCCACCATTTGGCCTACCACTTACAACCTGAACCACAAGGGGCCATGGACTGCGATCACACACCAAACCAACCTAATAAAGGACACAGCCACTTGCCGGGTGGGGGATAGGAGTCAAATCAGTTTCTGGAAGGACAAATGGTTATCACAGGGAACTTTAGCCATCATCTTCCCAAATCTCTACATACTAGCAATGAATAAGGGTGCTACTATTAAAGACCAATGGTCCAGATCAACCTCATCCTGGAATTACAATTTTCGAAGACCCCTCAAAGAGGAGATATTTGACGAATGGATGCGGTTAACACATTTGCTCAGCCCGATTGTGCCCCTCCTCTTGAGGATCAATAGTATTGGCCACTGGAATCATCGGGGTCCTTTACCACCAACTCTACCTTTAACCTCCTCAACTACCACATTGCTCCTTCGGCCTCCACCCTCTACCCCTGCCTATGGCATGGAAAATGCCCCAAGAAAATCAAATTCTTCTGTTGGGAGCTTAGTCATGGGGCATTAAACACCCATTACAGGGTACAGAGGAAACTCCCCCACATGTTGCTCTCTCCTCATTGTTTTGGAGCGTCAGAGACACAAGGTCATCTATTTATACATTGCCCTTTTTCCTCTCGTTTTTGAAACCATGTGCTATCGGCTTTTGGATGGACAACAGTACTACACACACAACTAGGGCTTTTTCTGGATTGCTCTTTGGTGGGACACCCTTTCAAGAATGCAAAAGCTACTCTTTGGGTTCAACTCATTCGGGCCTTCTTATGGTCCCTCTGGTTAGAAAGGAATCGTCGGGTCTTCAATGATAAATTCCTCTCTTTTGAAATTTTTTTTGACAGGGTTATTGTTCTAGCTTTGGGTTGGTGTAAATGTTTATACCCCCATTCAACAATTACTCTCTAAACGAGCTTATTACAAGTTGGAGAGCTTTCTTGTAATTGCCTTCATGGATTTTTGTATATTTCATACCATCAATGAAATATTTGTTTCATATAAAAAAAAATAAAATTGATTAGATTATGTTCCAAGTGGTTGAGGTTTATGGTTAAGTAAATTTAAATGAAAAAATTACACCATTTTCATACTTAGTCGATACAATTCAAAGTTGATTAGTTTAGGTTTTTTTCCCTTCTTCATAAGAGATATAAGGAGGCCTTCAGATAAAAAGTGGCAAAAGCCAAAACCGAACAACCTAAAGAACAATGGGACGGGTCAAACTTAGCCCACCAAGATGGTAAAAGTGGAGTAATTTATAAAAAGAACTTGTGTTGTGCACTCCAATTAAAGGTAATGAGAAATCGAACTTTTCATTGAGAAAAATGAAAAAAAAAAAAGACATTATGGATAAGGTCATGCAAAAAAAAAAAAAAGAAACAATCTAGCGACAGACACCCTATCTAAAAAAAGGGGCTCAAATCCAAAAGGATACCACCTAGCTGATAATTACAAAAAAAACTTAGAAATCGGTCCACAGGAAGTATTAAAGCTAATAATCTTCAAAATATACTCCCTAGACCTCTCCACCCTTAGAGACTATTATTTCTCTCAACCAAATCTCCACAAGATAGCAAAGAAACAAGCCTACCACATAAATTTTCCCTTATCCAAAAAATGAGGGAACGAACAACAGAACCTCCTTCATCGAAGCCCAACAATCCCAGTTACGAACCCATGACACCTCAAACAGCTTAAAGAATCGGCCCCAAATATCTTGAGCAAACTGACAATGGTACAATTTGTGGTTAAGATCCGCGAAGCACACACCACTGCGGCCCCAAAAAGAAAGAAAAGCACCTTTGAATACAATCCAAGGTGCTGTCCCATGTAATACCTGCCACGCAAATTTTTTTATCTTTTTTGGAATTTTAACCTTCCAAAACAAGGCAAACAGTGGGGTAGATGGGAGAGAGAATCGAGGCAAACAGTGAGCTGAACAATATTACAACAATAATCAAATGAGTTAGATCTATCTAAAATAGTGCTAGCATTTTTTTCTTTCCAAATAAACCACAATAAAGCCCTTGAGGCATTAGATCTGACCACACCACTTTAGCTTTGTCTTTCAGACACTTTCCCAATAACACCTCTTGGAGCCAATCTTCTATGTATTTCGGGCACTTTGTCTTTCTCAGGTCACCTCTTCACTAATAGAAAGGAACGCTAGGAAAAATATTGTAAAATGACTAAAATTCATGATCATGAGAGTGAAAATTAGCAAAACATGACTTTTTTTTGGTGTGTTTACCATTAGAAAGTACATTAGGTTTTAGTTTAGGTAAGAGTAGAATGATTGGTGTAAACCAAGTAAGGAAATTATATTTGATTTCAATCCGCCTTTACAATAGGAGAAGATTGGCATTATAGGCAGGCAACTGATCCTTTAACTAACTAACGGCTAGATAAAATAAGGAACTAAACTCATCGGCTAATTACATAAAACAAAAGGCTACTGACTACATCAAATTCCCTCCGGCCCAAAAGAAAACTCGTCCTCGAGTTCAAGCGGCTAGTGTAAAGGCATCCTCCGCATGGTACTCTTTATATATCCTCAATATTGAATACTGGGTGTATTCGAAGATCCGCCAGTAGATTTACCCGGAAGGCATTGTCTCCATACTTCTTGAGGATCTCAAAGGGGCTGATTTTATTATTCTGTGGCTTGTTATATGTGCCCTTTGGAAAACAAGACTTCTTTAAGTAGACCATTACTAGATCTCCTTCGGGAGAAGTTTTTGCTTGGCGATGGCTATCTGTAGCAACTTTGTAGGTTGCCGCAGCTTTTAGAAGGTTATCAATTACTTCTTTATGGGGCTACACGATCCACTCCGCCATGTGTTTCGCTTCCCGATTAAAATCAACAGTGGAAGGCATATTAGCAAGGTCTACGGTTAGTCTAGGAAGTCTAGTATAAATGATTTCAAAGGGGGGACTTCCCTGTAGATTTGTTTTTCATATGGTTGTAAGTGAATTCCGCCTGTGCAAGTGTAAGACTCCACTGCTTTGGTTCGTTGGTCCCCAAGCACCGTTTGAGGTTTCCTATGGTCCTATTAGTCACCTCTGTCTGGCCGTCCGTTTGGGGATGGCTAGTCGTGCTTAACTTCAAACTCGTATCAAATTTCTTCCGTAATGTCTTTCACAATCCGAAACAATAGTTTTCGGGACGCCGTGTAAGCGGACAATCTCACGGAAGAAAAGATTGGCCACATAAATTGCATTAGATGTCTTTTTACAAGGGAGGAAGTGTGACAGCTTGCTGATACGATTCACAACAACTAGAACCGAGTCATAACCCGTCTGAGTTTTGGGGAGACCCAAGACAAAGTCCATGGACGAATCCTCCCAAATTGATGTAGGAATGGGAAGGGGGAGTAGAGCCCTGTATCTTGAGATTGTCCTTTGGCTGTTTGGCAAGTTAGACATCGAGTAACAAAGTTATATACATCTTTACGTAGCTGTGGCAAAAAAAAATTTGTGCTGCCACCAGATCTAAAGTTTTATCACGGCCTAGATGGCCAGCCAAGCCCCCACTATGCATGTCTCGGATTAAGGTTTCGCGAAGAGAAGTATGTGGGATGCATAATCGATCTCCCTTAAATAGATACCCATCTAGAATTTGGAAGTCTTGGCAATTGACATGTTGATTGAATTGGACCCAGAAGTCTTGGCAATCCTCCCGCAACCTTCCTTGCTCAATTGCGATGTTTTCCATGTGTTTGGACAAATTTTCCAATAACCGATGAATATTCTAAACGCTAGAACGTACTTCCCCCAAGGAATCCTCCACCAATAGCAAGTGTTCGGTGGCCGATTTTGGAGACAGAACTTGTACCATTGATGGATCCACCACAAGACCTTTGCCGGAAACCATTGTGTTCTTCCCAGCCATCAGATCCTACGGATTCGATGAGGGCTCTGATACCAATTTGGTGTAAACCAAGTAAGTAAATTATATTTGATTTCAATCTGCCTTTACAATAGGAGAAGATTGGCATTTATAGGCACCCAACTTATCCTTTAACTAACTAACGGCTAGATAAAATAAAGAACTAAACTCAACTGCTAATTACATAAAACAGAAGGCTACTGACTACATCAATGATCAAACCTTTTGATATAAAATAGATGCATATCCAATAACCTTAGATAAAGTACACCAACAATTCCAATGTTAAACTCACTTGTACGAGAAGTTAAGTGAATTAATAGTAAGGAATCACCTGTCATTTGATAAAAGGTTCTAGAATCCATTATCCATTAACTCCTAGGCTTTATTGTTACTTTCAGAGCATTTAGATAGCTATTGTTTTGAGTCACTTTTTTTATTTTTATTTTTATTTTTATTTTCGTTATTTATTTATTTATTTTTTTTAACAGGAAAAATAAAAAGGAAAATTGTTTAGGATACAAACCCCTGAAGGAGTGAAAGAAAAGGAAAAACAAAAGAATCAAATGATAAGCTCAACGAGGAACAATACAATCTGCTTGAGAAATAAAGAACAATATAAACCAATAACCACTATTTGAGAGGTCAAAGAACATCATAGATGAAACTTGGCATAGATGAAACTTGGGGTATCGATCTTTCATAGACCTTGTAAATGAATCTTCACAAGGCTATGAAACCATTGGAACCAGATCCTCAAAGGGGTTCCACCTTGATAGCTGCAGAGCTCAACTATATCTCTGAAATCATCAAAAGCCACCTGAATCCTTTCCACGTAGTTGTCTCCTTTTCACAAATTTTAAAACTTTCCAATCCCAAATGTTGTAGATGATCTAGCGTGGGCTAGTTAATAGGCTGCTTGGATTGGCCAAACAATTTCTGGAGGACAGTTTGCTCGCGTAAAACCTTTTTTCTGGGCTAGTCTTTCTTTTCATTGCTAGAATTAAAAGAGGTTTCCATTATCAGGAAGGTGGAGACTGAGCAGTTAGGGCAAAAGGTTTCACAGGGGAACCATCTACCAATAAGTAAAGGAGAGATGTAATAGTGGGCCTAACGTCAACTTGGAATGGTCTGAATTCCAACAGTGTTAATATTGAACTCTTGAATGTTGTTCTTTTAGATGTGTTATTAACAAATGGTGGTTTCTTTTTATGATCAAAAGTATATGAACTTTGTATTTATGGATTTTAGTGACTGTAACCTCAGTTCAATTAATGGTTATGCTGGAGCTAATGCTCGAAGAAGAGCTTCTTCAGACAAACCAGAGCTGACAGTGGTTCATCAAAAGCCGGGGCCTCTTCAGACAATATTTGAGCTTCTTCCTGATGAGGCTAGTTTCTTTGAACCTCCATTGTTTTGGAAATGATGATACTGATATTCTTTTTAATATCCAGTTTTCCACAATTACTACTAAAACACTTGGAGTTTCTTTTGTTTACATTTTAGCATACCTAAGGCACATCATTTTCCTTCAGGTGGTTGAGCATAGTTTTTCTTGTGCTCTTGAGAGATCATTTTTGTATCATGGTCGTATGTATGTCTCTTCTTGGCACATATGCTTCCACTCTAACATCTTCTCCAAGCAAATGAAGGTTAGGAATGTTTAAATGCTTAATCTCTGTATTTGTTGGCAATATCTCGTTTTTACATTTTTTATATATTCTTTTGTTGAACATCTTTTTCTTTACATTTTGGGCTAAAATTCATTTCTGCTTACATGTATTAATTAAACTGATTTTTATTAGATTTGTTATTTCATATTACGTTTAGTTTCTTTTTTCTTGACAGGTGGTTATACCACTAGCAGATATTGATGAAGTATTATTCTCTATCTCCCTCTTTCCCTCTTCATACTTATTTCGTTACTTTCTTATGAGATTTATTCTTCATGTGTGATGGAATCTTTTGATTTATGAAGATACGAAGGACTCAACATGCATTTATCAATCCTGCTGTAACAATTATTCTTCGCATGGGTGCTGGTGGGCATGGTGTACCTCCATTGGGAAGTCCTGATGGTTAGTTCCTTTGTATGGTTGGTTGGACCCCGTTATGAAAACACAAAATATGGCTTTGAAACAACATATATCAAGCTTGTCAAGTTGCAATTTTCCTTGATAAAATTTTTGTTTTTATAAGCTTCTTGGTGGTACGATCATGAATTACTGAAAATCTAATTAAAGTACATGAATGTGAATTTTATTTTGTAAATCTTGATGCACCTAGATGCTTTAATATCTTTCCTCAAATTTTTATTCCATTTCCAGGTAGAGTCAGATATAAGTTTGCATCATTTTGGAATAGGAACCATGCATTTAGAGCATTACAGCGTGCAGTGAGGAACTTCCAGGAAATGCTGGAAGCTGAGAAGAAGGCATGTTTCTTATAATCGTCTTCTCATAGAAGAGTTTTCTAGAATCATTCTCAGTTTCCATTAAATTTGATGCAGTTTTTTTTGTTTTTAATAAGTCGTCAAACTTGAAAATCAATTAGCATACTAATAAGTTCCATCAAAACCTTGACTAAAGCTTATAAATTTATAAACAGATTCATTCTCCTAAATATATGTTGTTATATTGAGTCTTGGTAATTTGAGGAGATGCTATGACAAGTTAAGAATGAAACGTACCAATGTTTAGCGCTGTTTTGATAATTAATTTTGTTAATGAGTTTACGTAAAAAAATATTTTTTATGTAACAATTGGTTTCAATCTCATTTCAGGAGAAGGCTGAGTCAGCACTACGTGCACATAGTAGCTCTGTGAGAGTGAGTGGAAGTAAGGAGAAGACCACCGCTGATCATTTGCCCAAAAATAGAACTTTTCAGGCTTTCATTAAAGAGGAGGTTCTTGCTACCATACACAGCGTACGCATCACTTCTTACCCTCTGGACCTTGAAAACCATTATCCTATAATGAGCATAGTCTCTGTCGCGTTTTCTCTTCAGGGTGTTTTCCCATCCACAGCCGAGCAGTTCTTTACTACATTGTTGAGTGATGGATCAAGTTATACAAGTGCTTTCGTTTCGAGACGGAAAGATACAAATCTAGTTGTAAGTAAAATGCTCACTCTTTTCTTTTGGAAATTGTAAGTTGTAACTTCCCAAGCTCGAACAGTTGTGTCTTGGATTGTGCTGCTAGTGTAAGTCTAGGTTATGTTTCGTTCCTTGTCCAGACTGGAACTTAATTATCAATCCTGACTCTTCATGCTACTGTTGTTGTACTTCTTGTTATTGTTGGTTACTAATTTCATTAATCTAATTTGAACTATTAATTACACTAAAAGTTTTGTTATTAGTCAGACCTATATGCTGATATCATTCTTTACATTAACTTTCATATTATTTTCAGCTTGAAGTATGCAGACTTCTAAACTTTTCTCCTTAAAGTTTTTGTTTGTTGCATAGTAAATTTGTTAATTAAAATTGAATTAACTTAGATTCAAATATTGCTTTGTTCCTGAAATTTCATCCATTTTGATTTTGGTCCCTAAACTTTTAGAATTTGAATTTTTGTTCTTGAATTTCTATTTACTTTCTGTTTTCGACCTTTAACCTTTAAAATCCTAATTTTAGTCCACCAAGTTACACTAAATTCAACATTGATCTTTTCTGTAAAAGTAATGACATAGATATAATATATAGAATATGTAGATAACAGGTGGCATTAGATTAGGTTTTCAATAATTAATCTAAGTTTAGAGTTGAATGAAAATTGACAAAATAAAAAGTTGTAGGAATCAAAATACAAATTCTAAAAGTTCATTGACCAAAGAAAAAGAAAGGATAAATTTGAGGGACCAAAATCATATCTGAACTTTTTATCTAACTTCACCTATTTTCAAGTTTTTGAAGAGTGAGATTTCATGAGCACACCCTATATTACTTTTGTTAAGTATCTGGATGAATTTTTTTATGTTTATGGCATTCTGGGTGGTGTATCTACTCGAGTATCTGATTTCTCATGAGATGATTACTTACAGTAGGTTTTATCTGTGTTGTATCAGTTTTTTGTGTTAATTAAATAGACCAAATTTAACTAGTGGATATTTTGTTCTGGCTTCTAACTTTTATGTGAGAATAGTTATAATATTAATCCAGAATTCAATATATGAATATTAAAAGGACATTTATATAAATATATATAGGAAAGGAAGTATTCATTCGTACTCACAAATTTCTGGTAATTGTTCTCGCTATAAAATCAATTCAGTCCTAGTACATATTCTCACAATGACCAAAGTAAAACCACTATGACCTAAAATTTACATCTTTTTATTACTCGCGGTCTGGTATAACTTTAAGGGAGCATCATTGACTTTCATTGATTGCATTTTTCACACCTTATATTTAATTCTGCTATATTCAGATGGGACAATGGCATGCCGCGGATGAATATGAAGGTCAAGTTAGAGAGCTTACATACAGATCCCTGTGTCATAGTCCCATGTGCCCACCTGACACAGCGATGACAGAGTATCAACATGCAGCTTTATCTGAAGATAAGAAGAAGTTGGTATGGCTATGCTACTTACATTTTCTTTCTCAATATTATGTTTTTACCTGAAGTATTAATGATGTTGAAGCCCTACAATCAATTTTTATTATTCTCATAATTCTCTGATAGCAATATCATCTATTTTTGGTTTTTGACAAGAAACTGAATATCAGAAAAGGTGTACAAAAAAGCCAGAGTTAAAAAGAAAAAGATTTCCTGTTGGTCAACAAAATTATGAGGGAGTAATTACAAAGACTCGAGTACAAAAAGACGTGAAAAATAACTATATCATCTCACAGCTTGTCCCTCGATTTTCCTTCTTGAAGATTCTTCTATTTTTCTCCCACGTTCAATACTAAAGCTTCGATTAAACTCTTACTTAACCTAAAGCTGGCCATCCTGTGAAAAGAAGACGTGTTGCAATGCCCCTCCTAAGCCCATTCCAATTTAGCTTTGTCTCCAACTCATTTAATCTCTTCGCAGAATCGTCTCATAGTCACTCTTAGGTCTTAACCTCTCCTTCTTTAAGGCTTTTAGTGGACATATAATACCACAAGAGTAACATATATTACAAACCTCATATGTGTAGCATATATAAGTCAAGAGTAGAACAAGAAAGAAGCATACACCATTAATTTTCTTTAAATATTTACTATTTACTATTTTCTTTTTGTTACTCTTGGTAAATTTTTTTTTACATGTTATTAAACCAAAGTCTTTTCTGGTATTAAATATTCTATCTTTCCCTTTTTTCTTTTAGTACTTGATATGTTTTATTCCCTTTCTTTTAGGTATTTGAAATAGTTCAACACGCACATGATGTGCCATTTGGGTCGTACTTTGAGGTGATTAATTTTTCGAGCATATCTTCTTTTTGGTGTTTCTTGATATATTTGTTGCTTTTATAGATAGAGGACTTTGTTAGTTTTTAGTCAGATTAGTGATTATGCTGCTTACATATTTGCTAAAAACAAAAGAATAGATGGTTAAGCCATGAGCTTATGGTTTATAAGCAACTTTAGGCGACAATTTTATTTGGAATGGGGCCAATGCGTAATTTTCATCTTTCTACTTTTTCCTTTATTGTAAGCTCATCTAATATGAGATATTTTTAATTATAGCCTCATATTTTTTAAAAAGACGAAATTTATCCCAAGTCAAAGCTCTGCTTTTTGCTAATGTAGTTTCAATTGGGCAGCAGTATAGAAAACGTGAGTACCCAAATATCATTAAAATTTTAAGTACAGCAATAGTTATTTGTTAAATTGCAGCAAGGACTTGGGTCTCTTTGTAATATTGGCTTAAAGGTCTCAATTTCAAATCTTCCAATGAGCTTAATACCAAAAACTCTTGATGTCTCCTAGGTCCGAGTCTTAGGACGGGTGCGGGTGCTCCTGGGCATATGGGAGCAAAGCTCCGACTTCCCGTTATTAAAAAAAAAGTTATTTGTTAAATTACTTAGTCTCTACCTGAAAGTTAATTATATGTACTGCTTCAGCTCCATTGTAGGTGGTTGTTGGAGACAAATGCTGAGGACTCTTCTTCCATTGAAATTAAAGCGGGTAAGTACTGCATTCCTTGTAAAGTTGTACACATTTAATTAGTGGTTCACCTTTTGTCCCCCACCCATCTTTTTGGAGATCTACAACCTTCAATGCAGTTGTGTCAGCCCTCCCAACCCATCCAAAGAAAAAATAAATAAATAAGTAAAAGAGTTGTTAAAGATGAATAAACCATCACTCAACCCAAAAGCTTAACCTGATGGGTTGGGTAAATTTAATTCATATATTGGATATCTAATAAGCATAAAGAAAAATCTCTTATTACTTTCATGTGCACTTCGGTGTCTGGTAGCGAGCCTAACTTTTGATGCTAGTGAAAGAGAGATACAGGGACCTATCTTAGATTAGAAATGAAATGCTTGACATTCAGTATTTGGATTATATCTTCGAATAAAACTTAGATGTTTACCGATAATTGGGCCACTATTAAAAGATTGATAACCAAGACATATAAATGCATAAAAGAAGAGAGAGAAAATAGAATAAATAGCTGTCAATTTTTTTAATTATGGTAGGTAGGAAGATACCTGCCGTTGCTTACACCTAAGTTTTATCCTTGAATGTTTATCCATCTACTCATGAAATGACCTTCAGCTAACATGTCCGGCTTTCACCGAGTCTAATTCGAATTGTTTGTTCCAAAGCAAACCATGGGGTGGTTTGTACTATTCATATATTCATGCATCTTAGAACCCAATGTCTACTGATTATGAAAACAGCTATAGATCATAGATTGATCATAGATTTCTGTTGAACAGCTTAGTCTCCTTTGATTGGATCGTGGCCATGGACAATAAAATTACTACCTACCAACACTCTTCTGCATCATCCTTTTGGAAAGTAGTGCTAAGATCGTCCTATGACTTAACATTATTAAGAGCTTCCTTTGTATGTAATCTCTTATTACGTATAGAATTTGAATAGCTAAAAAAGATTTAAAGATAAATGATAGAAAGATTACAATAATTTGAGGTACTTGGACCCTCCCCTCTCGAGATCGCTCAAGCCTAAATCATACTAAACAATTGCCTACCTTCATCCCTTCCCTCTCACTCTATCTATAACTATTCTCCTAACAACTTCCCTATCTAATTACTATCGTATCCTTACTATTTTATTAATAATCCTAGTTACTCCAAAGGTCATTTCATTTCTATCAATTACATTCTCTCAATCAGTACTATCTTAAGTGCACCTAGATGCATGTGTGACACGATAAGTCAAGCATATCAAATTGGTGTGTTCTGCATATAGAAACCTATTGCTTTCTTGTGGTTGTGAAAATATTTCTGAGGAAGTCAGATCTTCTGATTAACTGACGGGGTTTTTCGGATTCGAAACAGGTGTACATTTTAAGAAATGGTGTCTGATGCAAACCAAAATAAAGGCAGGCGCAATGCTCGAGGTTTGAATTTTCTGGTTTCGTTATTGTTTCAACTTGTCATTCTATATTGTTTTTCCTGCTCTAGTTTCCTTTAGGCTTCATTCCAAAGACTTCATATTCATTAAGTTTCAGATTAGTTTTGTTCCAACGGTAAGTTGATAACTAATTACAGTACAAGCGGGCCGTGGATCTGAGGTTAGAGGTTGCCCATGAATACATGAAGTCGAATACTTCTGGCAGCGAAACCAACAAAACCGCACCTGCTCTTTCGGAAGCTCAGAGCAGTTGATTTCCACCAAATCCAGATTGGGTTCCACCTATCCACACTGTAACAATGGTATTCTCTCATTTTTCTCCCTTGAATAAGTTTCTTTAAAGTTTTGCATGGTGTTGTGTAGAAACAAGTTCCATCTGCGCTCTGTTTAATATATTAGAATTTGAACTTTCTTCACCCTGCCTCCTTAGGAGACTGGTGGTGCTCTGTTTATGCAACTTCTCATATACACAATACCATTGCCATACCAATATAGCAAAAAATGGTCTCCCGTTGTATATGGTCCAATTGTTTCTTCAACAATCATACAGAATTTTACCCTTTGTTTTTTGGTAATTCTGATGTTCATAAGCACTTTTTTTTAGTACAACATGTGGGATAGAGATTCAAATTCACGACTTTTTGGTTGAAGACAGGTACCTTAATCCGTTGAGTTATGCTCAAGTTGACCATGTTCATAAGCACATTTAGTTTGTAAAGTCTTGTATTTTATTCTTTTTCATATATACATTATGAGTATTGAGGCACCTCATCTAATATTTATTTGACCCTATAATATTTTATTCTTTAGAAACTCATAGGATTTTAATATCATACGTAGATAGCCACATAATTTTATTTATTCTTCGTTTTTTTCCCTTTATCTTTTACTCCATGTCTTGATGTATGATATTTAGGGTTTTTGTTAATCAATTTCCTACTTTTTATTTTCTTTTGGAGTTGTGACCTTTTTAGAGAGGTAAGTAATGTCTTGACCGGTTAGTTATACTCTGATCAATTAATCTATCTCCGAGGAAACTAATGTTAATAAGAAAACTTGTGAGAAGCATAAGTTTGTGTTTGTGTTTGTGCAACATATTTGATGAATTTGCCCTTCAAAAAAAATCTCAATTAGGTCCTTCCCTAAAAAAATGTTACTATAAAGTTTGTTGAATTAATGTTATATTAACATATTTCGATACGAGATCATGGTAATGTACATGGCACTTGGGAATGAATTTCATTAGTCGGTGGGTCGGACTTTGCTAATTGGCAGGTTGGTTTTAAAATAAAACAAAAAATTATTTTTTTTCTTGGACCAATAAATTAATAGGATAATTTAAGATAAAATATAGTAACCATCCGGGTGTTGTAGGGTACTAACACCTTCCTTACACCCAATCGACTTTCGAACCGAAATCTTAGACCATTTTTTTCATTTGTAAAAATAGCATCAACTAGCATGTTCACATATCTAAATATGTTAATAGAATAATAATTTAATAATTTATCAACATCATTTTAACTTCACAAAACAATCCTTTTAACCCATTTTTTACAAAAATTTTATTGAATGACCGAATTGAGAATTGACTTAAAAATAGAAAGTTTCTACTAGGCCAATATATTTCCCCGGGCAATTTACGAAAAAAGGTTGTGATAAGAAACGCCCAATTTTTCATGCTCGTGATATAGTTAAGTGATCTTTGAGTAATTTGTCCAAACCAAGAATAGCTATAATGTCTTAGCTCTTTGTCCATCATATTTGGCTAAATAAATTTTGTTCAAGTTTTGTTTAAGTTTTAAATAGAAGGGTAAATTAGTACTTAACAAAATGTCAAATTGGAAAAAGAAAAAAAGAAAAAAAAAGACCTAAAGTCCTTTTTTTTTTTTTCGGCTTCTGCCGTATGGGCCAGGCCTGGTGGAAGCTGAAGCCTTTATAGGCCCAAATAGCAAACTTTAGGGTGGTTGCAAAATTTTGAGATTATTAAAGTTTAATGAAATAGTAGAAAATTTAGTTCAACTGTTAAGTATTAGTAACATTTGGTTACCTTAATCATTTCTATAGATGTATCAATTAGTAAAATTATCCTGTCAAAAAATATTCATCTTAAATTTGAATTTTGTCATTTTAAATTATGGTTAATTTCATGAATAATATAATTTAAAAAATTACAAAAGTAGAACAGCTTTCAAAGTAACTTAAAAAAAATGTAAATTAAATAAAGAATTCTAAAAATAGATTATGTAGACAAACTATGGGCAAAAATAGGATAGTGGAAGTTGAAGTCAAAAATCACGTTTCAACATTGGTAAAGAAATCTCYTTTCATTTTCTTAAATTTCAGAATTGGATCTCCCTATCTGTTTCTTTACCTATTTCATCTCTTCCTCAAGCTCCGCCCTCTATTTTTACCAGATGGGCGAACAACGGTGGAGTCTTTGCTTTCAGAGACTTTTGAACTATTTTTCTTATGTTTCCCTCCATTCTCAATTGCTCGATCAACTTCTGGGACTCGTCGTTCAGAAATCATGTATTGATTTAATGTCAACGGAAAATCGTGTGCAATACGTCACAACCATACTAGTAGAGAATAGGTTGCAAGAGGTGGCGACACTAACGTGTCACACGCCAAGGATGTGCACAAGAGTGTAAGGAGAAGGCATACGAAGAATGCAAGGCGAATGCGACGTCAGTGGTGTCGGCGACAAGCTCAGTGGGGGCCAGTTGTGGCCCCGGGTCATGACCATAGAAGTCGGGGTTCCGTCGAGAGTTTGGACAAGCAGCTTTAGAGTTAGATGCATATTAGTGAGATATGCAAGCACGCCAAGTTTCGTGACGATCGGAGTTTAAACGTGCGCTCTACGTTGGCGAGTGACTCCTCGCCACTTTCGACGTACATGCCTGTCAGACCAAGTTTGCCTTAGAATGTACCTTAGGGGGA